GAGATGGTTAAATTCGAGCCAAAGTTCAGCAGGTTGGAATGAATTTGTCATGGAAGCAGCTGGGGTCAGGTGTTGAGCTCGTCGTATTTGCAGTTAATGGAACGAGTGGGCGAGAGGGCACGGTCGACAGAAGGAATGGAATAGTTGAGGGTGGGCTATCACACTGAGAGTGGCAGTACCGTGTCATCGGTGGACTGGCATAGTTCGGTTTTCGGACAGCCCCGTAATGGACATCACATTTATGTTCATTGGGCTGAGATTGGCGATTCTTTGAGCAGCGGGATTCTTTTCAGGCTAATCAAGGAAGCATAGCGGAATGAAGCCGATATAGGACCGCCGGTTTTTTGGTTCGTTTGGGGATTCTGTATTTGTAGATCGTAGACCAAGTGGAGTAGATAACAGCCAACCAGGTTTTCCAAACAGGATATTTTCGAATTTCAAAGCTTCAGAAGACGAGAGGATGGGGCGAAATTAGTAAGGCGTGGTGAGTTTGAGGAGACATTGAATGAGACGAAGTGCACTAATACACATGGAGAGAGAAACCTGACGTCTACCGCGATTTGGGTGATGCTAAGTAGTGATCACACGGAATAGGGTAGAGATGGATTTGCACTTAGTAGACTACCACCAAGGGTTAGGTTGGCTAACATATGGTGTTTAAGTGCAAGGGATCTAGTTAAATCCAGTATAAGCAAGCAGTGGTGGTTAGGGAGTCAGGTGTATAAAGGCTAATGGGATTGAACTTCCGAAATGATGGACTGGTTAATCCGGTGTTTATCGCATGAGCTGGGCAGTACCGGGAGAGAAAGTATGTGTAAGAGGAAGTAGTCACCAGTCCCCGAAGCACTGCTATCGGCTACTGACAACTAATGCCATGGATGACTGCCAATATGGTTTCCTGTCTCAGTGATCCCTTAATGGCTTTCAGCTCCACTTTTCCGAGACGACCACAGCAGCTCACGACTTGAAAGCGTCCAACGCTCATTCACAAAACAGCTGTTCCCTCGGTCAAACCCTCTCTCTTACCGCTCCCGTTGTCAAACTCTAGGCTTCAAGCCACTATGGCTCAGACAGTTTAAGATGAATCGAACTCTCTTTCACCGCCTGATGCACAAAAATCCCTTCATAGCAGAGTTTAGATTAAACGTAAACTCACGTCCTCGCTACCGATTCCGTAACTCCTGCAACCTTGTGGTGCCCACCAGTTCGTACAAACGTACGCCACCTCTACTTACTAGTTAACTACGCTCGCATCTGGAACAGCCTGCCTGCGAAACATCACGCATCCTCATTCTCAGTCCGTGGACAAACTCCTTACCTGTGAAACTGCTGCCGTTCTACTTAGAACCCAACTACCCTCGACTTCCTATATGGATTGAATCCAGTACACATCTGGGTATAACGAAGATAAAGTTGGTAGACAAGTATAAGATCCAGCGATCATATCTTCCTCACTTCAAGCTACTGTAGGACTTAAACGCTTACTTGATCTAAGTATACTCTGTCACCGGCCTGGTTGTTTTCCCTTTTTTCCAACCAAATTATACATCGGTCTAGTCAAATCTCCACCCAGGATTACTCTACCGGCTCTGTCTAGTGGCTGGTGCCGTCGGCACAACCCTAACTGACAAAAAGGAAACCAAAGCCATTTTTTCTCACTACTGTAGCACACTATACGCCTATGTGTATACACCGAATCCATATGATGATTTGCTCCACAGCTCACTAAACACACACACAACATCGTGGTACGCTTCTACCTGACATGGTAGCTCATACCAACGCTCAGTCGCCGTTTAGCCATACAGCACTCACCCTGAATATCACCATTCCCTCCCCACTGTCTCATAGGCAACTACCATTTCACTGCCTCCTCCGCGACCTGCCTCTACCGGCGTCTGTTTGCTGTTTGCTTGTCCGAATTGACTGAGCTGTTTTTACTTGTCATGCTTTCCCCCCGACTGGAAAAAACTGGTAGCTGAGTACCGCACTTATGACTGCCTGGATGGTTTCCCACCTTGCAAATCTGATAGCATGCACGAGGGATGAAAACCCCGTGTGGTGGATGGTTAGGCCCTGCAGGGAGGGTCCCTCTGTTACGTTGCACCATGGTGCGTTCGTATACCCACCACCACCCCAGTAGCACGGGTGCATTGCCCGTCGCCGGTGGTTCTGAACCTGGGTTTTAAATTCGGTAAATAAAAGTAAAAAGAGGCACTTCTGTCTTCTGATTTTTGCTGCTAGTGTTCTCCTTGCCTCGGTTGAGTTGTTTTGCGACGCCATAAACAACAACAACAACAACAACAAAAACTGGCCCTTCGCCTGTCCAAAAGTATCAAAAAAATGTACCTGGGATAGCCAGAAGAAACTCTGCGATGCCCATGGCCTATGTCGACGTACATAGCTGTAGCTGCCCTCGTCAATTTCGAGGCTACACCATACCAAAACCCACCTCGTCAACCAAAAAAAAAGACACCAAATTGCTGCTCCCAGGAGTGGACACGCACAACACATATAAACATAGTGAGACTCCAGACTCTCCACTGTCGGCGTGCGAGGCTGGCATCGGAAGTCTTCTTCGCCATGCACCACCCATCGACTGAAGCTGACAGTAGTACTTCGGGGACCGTTGACCATCTCTCTTACACACACCTTCCATCCTAGATTGACCTAGTACCGTCCAACTCATTAATAACCTCCAAGAAATCTAGTCCACCATCTCAGAATTTACACTTCCGCCAGTCGTTACGCGTTTGGTTACCTTCACAACACCACCTCTTAACCTACATACAGTGAACTGTCCTGTCTCAGGTAGTATAGTTATATTGGCAATCTTAGCTTGACTTTGATTACTACACCCTTTGAATGCAAATCCATCCTTATCCTGTCTTGTTTAACCACCTAGGTTCATCGCCATAACTTTGGTAGACGTTCATTTTTTCCCCTATTAAATGACTACGTCCTGTCTGATGACCATATAACTCCCCAGACCTTATTGATCTCATCTCACTTCATTTCCTCAAGATTCGACCTGTGATACGGGGTATGGACGACCTATTTGGCCATTGTCCACTCCACCTGATCTGTACATTACGAACGAAGTGATCCCCGACCCGAAAAGCAAAGAACAACAACAAATACGACGCGCGATATTGCATCGGTTTCGCTCACCCTGAGAAGTCCCCCGGCAAACGCACATCCCGCTGATCACAGGACCGCGCATCTCAGCCTTACGACCTTAATCACGACGTCCGTCACGGGGCCGTCTAGAAACTGAAGTATTTCAGTACAGTGACGGTGTGGCTCTGTGATACCTAGTTTGATAACACACCCGCAATTGTCCACTTCCCGCTTTGGCCGCGCTCTCTCGCCCACTGGTTCCCTCACCGGCAGCCACAATCAGTCTTCATTTGCCACCATTGGGAGGCGCTCATTGCAATATGAAGAACATTCTGACGGATGTAAAGTTCCCGGCTTTTATTCGTAATCCTCAATAAGTCGATCAATTTTCGTACAGTTTGCGTGGACTCGTTCTCCCGAGTAACTTTTACACTCGACCCTACTCCAACAGCAACACAAGTGAGTCGCTCTATTTTCACTGGACACCTACCACCATTTTCCCGTACTGCATATTACCCTACTTCGCCATCCCCACTTACGCTTTCCGTGGCCATACGCCCATGCAGCCCAAGGCCACAAAGCCCCAGTGACAGTTTTGGGCTTTAGTTCAAATTGGTCGGCCAGGTCTTGGCGGTTCTGCTGCCCCTCCAGATCCATTATTTTGGCTCCAAACTTCCTGCAGTTTGAAGTTTTTTGTCACGTTCCAGGCAGGAAGCTTTTTGTTATGCCCTCATTCGTACTGTGTTTGCCGGCCACTTTTAAATCCCAACGATCAGATCTTATGTCACCGCCGCTGGCTTTTCGCACAATGAGATTGATTTCTCGAAATCTACGGCATTTTCAGACTTGGCACTTCATAGTGTAGAATGTTTATGTATAATGTATATGCTCCTGTATTATTGAAAATCCTTTACTATGGCAATTTGTTTAAGTGAACTAAATCCCCAGGTGAATAAACACCGCCGACATTGAATACCTTACCGGACGATAGAAAAACGCGAATTGTGGAAAAGGTTGACTCACGTACAATGAAAGTAACTTTCAGGTATTTTTCCATCGGAACAGATTTCTTCAACATTCTAGAATCTAAATGGCCTTTGGAGATGCAACATATGCGTAGGCGCATTCGTGCAAACAAATTTTGGCCGATGATTCTTCGTTTCCAGTGGTGCACGCTAATTATTTGCTAAACATCGTGCACGTTGACTGGCAAATTACAGAGTTTTTCATTATAGGTTCCGAATTATGGTAGAAAGTCCTCCGGGTTCATCGACCTTAACCGACGCACACCACTAACATGCGGCTAAGAGTACGCAATACCTAACTAACTAGCCACATTGAGCCTACGTCGATAATACCAGACAGCTGAACGATCTTAACCGACGCACACCACTGACATGCGGCTAGGGGTACACGATACCTAAATAATCCATCCATCGGTAACGGATAAAAGGCTCAAAATGGACGTCTTGAAATTTTGAGATA